GTCAGGAACAAGATATGTAGGTTAGTTAGTATATTGCATTTTAATTTCACTCCCCCTCCACTTAAGATCACCCAATTACGCAAATGCCAAATTCCTGAAAACATTGCAGGGCTTGCTTGTAGCTGTAAGAGGCGATTGGACGTATCAATTATTTGTTTGTATACGTACGAAATTTTTATTAGAATTACGGTTTCGCCCACTAACACGAAATTTTAAATAACTATTAAATTTTTTGTGCCTTTTTTTTAAACCAAAATAAAAATTAGGCTCATAAGTTTTTTTTTTTTTTTTTTTCTTTACGGGTTGCGGTTTAAACTACCCGCTGTACTGAAGCTTAAGCTTATTGTACCCCATAGTCTCATTACTCCATAAGACCCGTTCTATTCCAGAAGGCGAGTATACAGTTTATGGGAGCTCTGGCTATCTCTTCCGGGGTTAAAAGTGGTCCCTCGAAGTGTGTTAGTCTCATTGCCGTTAGGGCTGGGCATTCACATAAGATGTGGTGGGGAGTTTCTTCCTCTTCACCACACATCCTGCAATCTGGATTGTCTTTCACCCTTATATTGGTTAGGTGTTTGTTTAGTGTGCAGTGTCCTGTTAATATTCCCACTGCACACCTCAGCTGTTTTCTGCTCAGCTTTAGCATTTCGTTGGTCCTTGCTCTAGATATTTCTCCGATGAACAAGCGTGACTGTCTCATTCCCGGTATCTCTATCCAGTGCGAGTAGTGTTTCTGTCTTAATAGTTCCTTTACCGATCCTTTTGCGGTGCTATAAGATACCCCGCAGGTCGGTTCGAGACCTGTTAGAATTGATTTAGCGCCTTTTCTGGCTAGCATGTCTGCTTTTTTCGTTTCCCGTATTTCCCTGGTGTCCTCGTGTCCACTCCAGTTGTACACTGTTGTGTTCCGTAAGTTTCTCCAGGGACTCCAGGCAGTCTTTTACTGTTTTAGATCGTATTTCTACTGCTTCCAGAGCTCTGAGGGCTGCTTGGCTGTCAGTGATGATACGGATTCTCTTATTTTTGTATGCCCTCCGTATCATTTCTTGTGCACAGACGTCTATTGCTGTGATTTCGGCTTGGAACACTGTTGTGATACTTCCGAGGTTCAGGCTGATGTCTGTCCCTGGTTGTTCTCCCGCAACTCCTGCTCCGCTACTGCTTAGGCTCATAAGTTACAAATAACCTAAATGTTTTACTCTATTAATAAAATAAATATTAGGCTCATTAGTTTGAAATGACCCAAATATTTTACTCTGTCAATAAAATGTAATTGCACTCAGTGCAGCAACGCTGCTTTAAACCAAGAAACCATTAAACCATATTCACTTAAACTTTGCAGTGTTCGATTGCATTTAAGTGAGTGAAACGTCCGACTACGACCGATGCTTATGAAATAAAATAAACATAACAATGAACCGCTATAAGAACTTTGCACTTGCGTATATCTACTTGTCATCTGTATCAAGAATCAGTGCACATTTTGTTCTCTATCCTGGCTAACGCTGCAAGGTTTAAATGAACAGAGTACAGTAGGTACGTTAGAGACTGTTTCAAGTAACAAGCAGTTCTAAAACTTTTTCATTGTATTGTTTTAAGAACAAAAACAAAATAATACATAGGAATAAAAAACTTTCAATGGGTTTCTGCAGATGTCAAGAATCGGTGGTTTAAATATAACTACGCACTTAAAACTCACCCTGTATACTCTTACCTAATAAACAAATATTAGAATGCATCTGTATCTAAAAATTTTAAAATAAAAAAATATATAACCCCCTCTCTGAGCCCCTTTTTTTTTTTTAAAAAAATTTTAATAATATAATTAAAAAAAATTTTAAAAAAAAGAAAAATTTTTTATTGAATTATTACTCCATAATTTATCTGTGATTATAAATTTATTCCATTTAAATTATTTTTTTTTTGCGACATTATCATGGCATTTGTCTGCATTTTTTAAATTTTTGTTATTAAAGCCTTGTAATTTTTTCAAGTAAAAAAAACAAATTACGACATCCATACAAAAGCTTTAAATTACCAGATACATTTTTATTGAATTATTTAAATTTTTAAAATTCCAAGTCCTTGTTGGGAATATTACCCGTTTTGGGAACAAGATCATAGTGATTGTTTATATCATTAAGTTGCCTTAAATTATCTTTACACTATTGTTTGTATTTTCAGGTAAGTTAAATGCCAAATTTTTTCAAAACCATTAGTAATAAATAAAAGAATAACCCGACACTAAAAACTAGAAAGTTAAATTTAGGAGTTGCTAATGTCGATATTGTTTAAAAACAATATTTTGATAGATAAACATATCTTACATTTGCCTTTACAATGGTTTAAACGTGAAGCTTCGACAATTAATTTCTATAATTTGCAAACCAAAATATTAAAAATGAGTATATCCTCGTCTCATTTAAATAAAAGATATACGTTGCACGAATTAGACACCACCACAGAATCAGAGACTGTGACACGAGTCAGAGTCAAACCAAACCAAACCGAGACGGACCAGTTATGCGTCCGATTGTGGCGTACCAACAGTGCTATTACACTACTTTTTAAGATGACTTGAACCTAAGCTAGTAGCATCCACCTTTTCTAAAATCTTAAGCTACACAACCATGTAATGATAACGTTTGAAGTTCTTGAGCCGAATTAATAATTAGTATAATAGCAATAGCACTGTAGATTATTGTAACTAATTTTGATGTTCTTTGGCTGTACCTCTCAAGTTTTTCAATTTCTTCTCTGATGTAGGTAAAAAGAAATGTAACATTTCTTGATTTACTCTTATTAATATTTTCCAGACATCGTAATTTACAAACAATATATAGAGATAATTTCACCTTAAAAAAAAGTAACCCTTACACCACATGAATGGTCCCTTCAATGTATACAAATAATATCCATATAAAAAGATTAATGGTTTTATTTTAAAATTAGGAACAAAAAATAAACCTTTGAGTTTCCAATCTAGATGAATTTAAATATAGGTGCATTTTTTAATTTAAACTAATTCGACATATCAGAGACCCTCAAAATGTTTTTTTACCTGTTGATGTATGTTTTCCTATTGAAAGAGTATGGTTGCGAGAAGGGAATGCAATAAAGTTTCGCAGTGATATAAAGCCAACTGTGGGAATATTTTAAAACAAAAAATTATCAAAATATTTTTTTATTATTGGAGAAACTTAAAAAAAATGGTACCAAAAACAATAGTTAAAAAATTTTCTTTCTTAATAGTTTAAGCTATGATATAAAAAATTAAATAATGAAACAAATTACATAACATAACAATAATATATATCGGTATGTTGCCCATCAGCACAATTATGTTTTTCTAAAAACAAGCTATTGTCAATAATATTGGATTGATAGGAACCTTAGCCTCTATTTATATAAAACTGGGAATTCGCAAAGTGAGCGGAAGTAGGCATTTATTTTTAATATTTTTTCTTATAAATATTTAAAAATATAGCAAGATATTTAAAATGCTATTGTTCCAACGACTATAATAATTTTTTGTTGTTAATTTTTGTTCTAGTTAAAATTTGTGAACTGACAGTGAAAATACTTATTTAAAAAAACGTAAAACATACATAAATGGAGACACTCCCCAAAACCAAAGCCGGAGCTACATTATTGAAAAAACGCGAACACACAACTACTCCTTTCGACTTCGTCAGGGTCGAAGCCGCGATTTGAACCCAGGAGCCGGCAGACAGTAAAATCAGCAACGTTTGTCGCTTAACGTTTTAGCCCACTACGCTTCCAAGCAAGTTAGATCACAAATTTTAATTATAACAAAAATTAACAACTATATTTTTTTACAATAAATATTTACTATAAACCAAGAATAAATAACTCATTGTACGGAATCACAACCTTAATGCTGTAGTTGTTTTTTTGTTATTATTTATGTAATTTTTTTTACCGTAAATCGTTGTTGTTCGTAAAAGATCTAGAACTGTCACACGCCCTGAGATTTAAATCTTTTAAAAGATCTAAATAATTTTTTTTATCTTAAATCATTCCAAGATACTTTTATCTCAAACGATTTTAGCAACGGTAGTCACAGTCAGTAATTTGATGGTAAGTGAAATTCGACGACCTTGTCCCGTCTTTTAGCGGCTCGTATATCAGCGTATACGCAAAAGCTATGAAATCTTAGGCTAGAGTTGTGTAGGTGATATACTATCATTCGGAGATGATATAAAGAAGTTGGTGTTGTACATTTAGTACTGAAAATATTTCCTGAACAATAAAATTTAAGATATATGCCACATGCCACAGGATACTTTTTTTGTTGTATGTTCTGAATTACTCAGGAGAGGAAAAGCCAGAGCGTCCCATATTGTTGAAATTAAAAAAAAAAAATAAATAAAAATACAACTCTATAATTATAAGCATTTTATTGATAACGGTATAAAAAACGTGAAGAAAATCCTACAACTGCTCTATAACATATTTCTCCTAAAACACAACTTTGTTGCATTGATTTAAAACATGAACAGAACTGTTGATCATATTATATTTAAAAGGGGGAGAAAAGATGTTCTTTGGAGGATAGATGTATATTTCTTTTAAAATATATGTAGAGATTGAAAAAGCTCGATGCTTTCAGTCAAGTCTGAAATTTGGTTTGTTTTTCGTTTGAGTAAATTCTTTGTACTTTTTGTGAATTGTAGATTGCATATAGTTTTTATTTTAAATTTTTTAAATTATGCTTTTAATGAGCTATAACTAACGACTTTCTAATGTTTTGTTCAATATGTAGTCATACCGTTTTTCTCTGAAAATTTAAAATTAACTTTTCTTAAACACCGTTCAATGATAAATAGACGTCACGATATGTCTATGAACCCTTTGAGGAATAGCAAATGCCTTGGAAAATTTCTTTTCGAAATTTTGAAAATAAAAAAGAGGTTTTGTTTAATGGCACATGGGCTGAGTGTAAAACCCTATGGTGTGGTATGCATTCATTTAATTACTGGTATGTAACTTCGTGGTAGAATGGTAAGGACATTTGCTTTTCACCCTGGAGTCCCGGGTTCGATCCCCGGTCGAGCTAGGATTTTTTCTAAACCAGAAATAAATCTTAGCATACTCGGACATTAGGTGTGTGTCCATTATCTCTAGATGTATAGCCCTTTCCCACACAAGGTACCTTGAGGTACCTACAAGGGGGTTGTATTGCCTGTTATGTTTATATTACCTGTGGTGGTATCATAGACCTGTTTGTTTACAGAGATATTTTGGAAAATATCGTGTTATCTTATCCTAAGCGCAGTGGGGAATGCCTCTACAATTTATTTTCCAAGATAATGACCCTAAGCACACATTATACGGCTATACAAGACTGGTCTCGGGAACATAGTACACGTGTTTTCGAGTACCCTGCAGAGTATCTTGACCTGAGTCCCATAGAAAATCTATGGGAAGAAGTAAAGTGATAGACTAAAGTGGACACGACAAGATCTGAGAGATACAGTGACTGAGGTTTGGACAAATTTGCTGGAAGACGTTATGGAAATATCAATTTCCTTAAAGTTTCTACGAAAATCGTTGCAAATAATGGTATTACAACAAATGATTAAAAGTGATTTAAATTAAATCCTGTTTTGTTGTTCGTTGTGTATATTATTAATAAATTTTATATTTGTTGCTTTACTTTTACTCATTTATTTTTTCAAACTTTATTTATGTTAATATAATTTAATAATATTACAGAATTTGACACTAATATCTAATATGATCTTAAATTAGAAAAATCTAACGCCACCATATTTAACCTAAAATATGAAAATGTTATATTTTCAGCTCATCAATTGTTCAAAATAATTATAGATTGTTGCTTTACTTTTTGTCCAACAGTGTATTATTAATTAAAAATTAATACTCTCTATTCTTGCTTCCTTATAAAATATTTTAAGCTAATGTTTATAAGTTTATAGTAATGGTAATGGTCACAGTAATAGTAACGGCAATGGCAGTGATAATGGTAGTGGTAATGGTAATGGTGTACCATACTTATCAGCTTAAAGTCACCACCTTCTCATATGCTTCCTTTCTAGCACTATTTGTAGTGAGGTGTACCAGAAAAAGAGCAGAGAGGAAGGTGGTGATTTCAAACTGATGAGTATAGTGCTTATCTTGCTCCCTCGTCGAATCTTTCCGATCTTCTAATGGAGGCCAAAATGTCACCAAGTGCGAGGCATATCATCTCCTCCCTTAGAAGTGTCTTACAATTAGCACTGACGGAGGCAGGCGCCCGAACGTTTTACACTGCCGCAGTAAGTGGTAGGATGTTTTTTTCATTACTTCCGCCTCCTGGACATGTAAGATCTTCTTCAATACCTATCAGTGATAGATGTCTCCTAAATTTGTAGTGGCCTGTCAGTACTCCGATTAAAAGATTCAGTAATTCGACTCCAGCCTAGTAACTAGGGCGATCTCGACTTTCGAACGTAATCAGATCCGTACTGGAGCCTTGGCCTGCTGACCGCCATGTACAACCATTGTAGAATTCGTGGGTTGAGGCCCCAATTCCTATCTACCATCCGGCTCAATTTTTTATAATCAGGTGGCTAAAAATTTCGAAAAAAATTTCGAGAGTGGAATTATGATATTTAATGTAACCATTATCGAAAACGCCGAGTCCTGTCAATAGTTTTAACAAGAGTGCAAAATTCGTAAATAAATAAATTCGAAGTCGACGACAAACATTTATGATCAAAATTATCAGATAAGATGTCGTAACTAGCGCCGCCTGCAAATAGTACCAAAATTCACTGACGACTAAAATTAACGCATCATCCAAATTTTACCATGACTGTATTTGATTTTTTCTAAACCGTGTGTCCGGTTTTAATAATTTTTATTTGCTTTATAGGTCAACTCTTCTGAAATGTAAAACCATGCTGATTTTAAATAAAAATTATTTTTCTTTAAAGACATTTATTATTATTATTATTATTATTATTATTAAATACAGGGTGTAGAAATAAAGCTATGTTTTTCATCAACAATTCAAAACAACCTGTGGGAAGCACCAGTAGTAAAATTAAAATCCAGTTTAGACCTAATCGTAGCCTTATCTTTTCTTAACATCGTCGTTTTTGGTACACATTTTTATCCTTCTAATTAAGGGAAATATACTCCATTATATCATTGCATGCTTTTAAATATCATTTACTAGCATTATTTAATTAGCCATATCTTCGTAACCAATGGACCGATTTAGATTAAAATAAAGAGAATGGATCTGCTCATAGAATATGTCATTAGGTAGCTCATTTAAAAAAAAAAAATCCATAAAGAACGAAGATAGGAAAATCCCAATTTTTAAAGGTGTCCGGCATTTTGGTTTATTACATGTCTGTCATATTTAACTATATGTTTTGTAGCCTACCTAATGACGACAAGTTTGTTTAAATCTGTCTCGGTATATCTCCCTTAATAGCAAAGATAAAAAAGTGTGCCACAAACGAAAATATTAAGAACAGATGTGGATATAATTGGGCCTAAACTAGATTTTACTTTCGCTGCCGAGAATCATTAAAATCGGATAAACGGTTTAGAAAAAAAATCAAATTCAAAATCATGGTAAATTTTGGGTGATGCATTAATTTTGGTCATCAGTATAAATAATACCATCATATTTGTCACATTTCAAAACATAACCTTAACAATAAATTACGCGACGTTTTGTCTAAAAATAATAATTACCCCTAAACAAAATAATTTGATTCCCATTTCGATCTCGGACAAAAAGTATAGAGCCACATTTTTATCTGATAGGTGCGGTGCGTGAAAGAGAGTGACGAGTGCTTCCACCCAGATCGTGCGGGTTCAAAACTGGACTTGACCAAGTCGATATAGTGGATGAGTGGACCTGTTCGCGTCACCATCTTTCTTTGGGATTTAAAACTGTGAGTTCCATGTACCTTCGATGCGAGCACGTTAAAGATCCCCCACGACACAGTGGCATTCGGAACACAAATGGTGATGAACTTGTCTCCCTTCGTAAGTTATTAATTTAAAAAAAGGACAACACTGTGAAGCTGTCACATTCGTTTCTGGTTACCCTGTTCAATTAATTTGTTTTGAACTTTTTGAATCATAATAAACAACATATTACAAAAAATAATAATTAGGTACGGCAGAAAATGCTTTCTAATATCAACGTTTTAAAATAATATAACTAAATTTAATATTTTAATACATAAATTATTTATGTTTTGTAAAAAAAACTGCTTACTGCAACAAAATACTAACTAATCAATAAAACTTTTTAGATCTTCTGACATGTACCGCATCCATTGTACGTGAGCCTTTATTGTTTATTGTGGTGTATTCCCCTCGTCCTGGTGCAAGAATGTAGAAGTAGACACACCGGGTCCTTTAGTTGCAGCTGGCGGTTCCTTTGTTTGGAGCCCCGAGTGAAAGGTAAAGGGTGTAGGGCACGCGTTGGCTTCTCTTCGCCCCTCATAACATCGTGCAATACTTACCTGTAGATGACTGCAGCCCTGCAGAGGGCATCGATTATTAATGAAGTCACTCGGCTACTAGCTCTTGGCCCATTTAATTAAGAAACGCCACTTTAATTCAGTATGTTCGACCATTTGGAAAGCGTGTTAAATGTTTTATTATTAATATTGACATTGACTATGCCATAACTATTGAAATGGAAAGTTGTGTAATTTTATAAAAGATATGATTATTAGAAGCACTGAATTAAGAGAAATATAAATTTGTTGTCTATAAACCAGTTAATTGAAAATGTTCTAAATTTTAGATGTGTCAGACAGGAAAAACATTTAAAAAAGAATATCAGAACGTAAAAAGTTGTTTATTCAAAAAACTAGTGTATTGCAAAGGCCCCAAATTTCCATTTCTTGGTTCATTATAAAAATGAATAAATAAAAAATACCACCATTAAACTATCTTCTAAAGACAGATTTTTTATTATTCTTGAAGCTTGTTTTAACTGGTTTAAGTTATAACTAATTTATTGCTTCAGCTCATTTCTGAAAATTGTTAAGCATGATATATGTGTACAGAAGGCTGTAGAATTCACTTTACAAGTTTAACTTGGAATAAATATTTATTCGAGGTGGTTATAGAAGTGGAGAAAATAATAATATTATAGAAGGATGATAGTTACTTTTAAGAGAAAAATGTATGTAAGAGCTGACCTCATTCCTCTGCTATATATTCTTCTAATGAATGCATGTAACAAACCTGCAGCATGTGAGGATGAATCCTATAAAAATCTTCCTGTATGAATATTCTCAGTTATCTCAATTTTATTCTGTATAATCTGCTTTTAAGATAATGAATAAAATAATCTGTTGCAGTAAGGTCATAAAATCTAGCAGACTACCTTTATTTCCAAACCTAGTGAAAAGAGGCAAAGAGGAAACATTTCCTCTCAAACTTCAAGAGTTATTCACGCAGTATGAACTTGTTGAAACCAAAATTGCTGTTCTTAATTTTGAATTTGAAGAGAAAAAACTTTTGCAGCATGTCAGAGTATCTCCTAAACGTAATAGTTACGATATGTTTGCTCTCTTCGAAAAAGTACGGACCAGTTATCCAAGAAGAGAAAACAACACACTAAATGGTAACTTTCTGTTAATGTAAAGGTCTTTTGTGTGTTTCTTTGGGATGTTCGGTGGCCCAATATCGGAAATTTTATTTATTAATAAATTCTTTTAAATACAAATGAGCTTTATTAGACATAAAGAGATGGTTTTTAATATTGGGATCTTCATTTCTAAGCTGTAAAAACTTTTGTAGAAATGTAATCGCTGCTACTTGTCATGGACTTCTGGACCAATGCAATTTTATTTGGATAAACTTTTATGAGGCATTCTTCTTACACTCTTTTCAGAAAAGTTCAAACTTGTGCATGTTGACTGATTGGTCTTTTCGTCTTGTCGCACAAGAATTTTATTTTCTGGAGTACATACTGAAAATCGTTCTGCGGTATGTTTACCGTTGACAACAGATCCTCTTGTCCGTCAATTGGCAATCTAAACCAGGATTGTTAGTTGCGAGGGAACATTTC